TGCAGCTATTCGGAAGTACAAGGTCAAGATACACGCGCCGGCGGCTTCTATTGATATCGCATTCAATCGTCGCCGCCGCACCGCACGCACTACATTTGACACTGTTTGAATGCCGCCACAGAGTACATGTTCCAAAGAATAAAATAAGTTTTCGGGTGCTCAGAATGGACACGAATACATTATGCTGATCTCGCAAGGAATATTGTAATTAGATAATGGTAAGGATAGGTAGATACCATAATAATTTATTCTAGTAAGTAATTATTATAATATTAACTATATGGGTTTATAATAATTACTTACTATTATTATTATTACCTACCGATTTGGTATCTACATATACATTTGACATTTTATGTTTGACTTATCGCTTTACATAATTATAGAACTATTGTAAAAATATTCTGAAAAGAGCAACTACTGAGTTTCTTACTTTCTTCCATGATTCTTCTCAGTAGAATCAGAACCCCTGGACACGGAAAAGAAAAAATTGGGGAAAACAGTGATTGTATGACTATTCAAAGGTGTATTTTTAATGCCTACTTGAATAAAACATATTTGAATTTTGAATTTCAAACGAGTGAAGGCAAATTTAATTTAATTAACGTAGATTAATTCAATCACAAGAAGAACGTAATATACACAATTTTATTTACATATTTACATTTCATTTTTACGTAGGCACACTATACCTAACTGGCAACGCATCTACTTTATTAATCTTCTGAAGAATCATTAATTTTATCAAAGAATACCGAACTTTCCTTTGTCGGTCTTTCGGCGTGTACTTACAAATAGTAGTATTTATTTTAATTCCAGTCATTCCCAATTGAGCTTTGCTTCGAGTCTAATGTATTATTGTTTTTACTCTAATCCTTGTTGTTCTCGGAGTGATAAGTTTAGAATTTGACATGAGTGACGAAGAGTCGAATAACTCTAGTCGGAGTAGTAAGAGTTGGAGTTAGAGATCTAAAAGACCGGAAAGTAAATTTGATGAGTTTTTAGACATAATTAATGCATCCCAAATTGCTTGGTGTAAATTATGCCAACATAAAAAGTTTGAAATAAAAATGAAAAACAGAAACACTTCAGGCTTAAGGAAGCATCTAATATCTTTCCACAAAAAGGAATAACAAATATTTCTTCTTGAAAAACCAAAATTAAGTGGAGATGTGGAGAGAAAAAGTGGACACGTAAGAAAAAATATACTTATCACACAATTACATAACACGTATATTATGTAACTAACGGCCGCCTGCGACTTCGTCCGCGTACAATATCTGATTTCCTATGAGATTTTGAAATTTTCTCGCTGCAAAAGTCTTACCTAAGTATAAAGAGGCTATATAGGTAAAGCTTAACTATGCAAGTATTTATTATTTAAAAATAATAAAGTAAATGTCGATCTTCATATCTATACTTTAAAAATATAGGACTTGCATGTAACCATTTTACCCCAATTTCACCCCCTTATGGTTAGGATTTCGTATAACAGCTTATTCAGGATTTTATTATTGAAAACTTATAACTTTAATGCCGATTTTCGTGTCTCTAACTTCAAAAACGTAGGACTTTTATACAAACTTCCAACTCCCATTTCACTCTCTTAGGGATAGATTTTTTCAAAACCGTTTCTTAACTAATCTCTATGCCATAAAAGGAACTTACCTTACAAACTTCAAGTTGGTATGTTTTATAGTTCCTAAGACATCGTTGTAGTCAGTCAGTGAGTGGTAGTTATTAAAAAAAAAAAAAAAAATATATATATATATATAGATTATAGTGTTAAATATGTATTTATAATTCACTCAGCAGTGACAACATCACGACAGCTACAGTTGATTGGATGGTTAAAAATATCTTCCCTTCTCATTTTTCGATGACGAAGCTACACAAGTATATTTTCGATCAATTTGCCCAAATATGGTGTTTCCTAAAAGGTCCACACTTAGAAGGAAGGTCAAAGAACGGTCTGAAGAGCTTCAATTGAATCTTAAGAAACGACTACAACAATTTTCATCTAAAATGTCATTTACCATTGATGGATGGACGTCAATTGCTGGTAGGAGTTACTACGGGGTCACTATTCACTATATAGACAACGAATGGAAGTATCGATCTGTAGTCCTTGATTTTATACCATCACGCGGTCGACATACTGGGGAAGATATTGCAACGATTTTCCACGAATGTTTATTGGAATATGACATAATTGATAAAATACAGAGTATCACGGTCGACAATGTAACTGCAAATAGCAAATTTATGTATGGATTGGACAAACAGCTGCCATACTTTGATTCAGACAATCAACATTTCCGGTGCTTTGCTCACATTTTGAACCTTGGTGTACAAGATTTATTAAAAAGACCTTAGCATTACACAGTGAAACTGACAATAAGGGACAAAAACAGCAGTATGAAGATAATAAAGACGAAACTGAGGAAGATGAAGAATATGCGCCAAATATTGCTGACTCATGTACAGCTATAACAAAATTACGCAGTATTTCCAGTAAAATAAAAAGAAGTGAGATATTGAAGCGGAAGTTCCAGTCTGCTTGTGAAGCAGCTGGCGTGCCATCAAATCTGAACCCCATACTTGACTGTCCAACGAGATGGAATTCCACACATGATATGATTGGATTTGGTTTAAAAGTGGGAACTGGCATTAACATATTGTGCCTTAAATAAGTAAACGCATTATATTAAAAGAAATGGGACTTGAATAAGATTACTATAGTGGCGTGTATGTTACTTCACGAGCAACTGAGAACGAGGTCAACTTGGACTCGCTAACATATCAGTGCTGGTGGTAAGCGGGTTTGTTGTAGCAATACGGCTTTCCCCTGGACATCGCACATCCATACCGTTTGTGGGCGGCGTCGTAGCGCATGGCATTGTTATTAGCGTTATTTTCCCATAAAAATATTAAAATCGATAATTAAGTCAAACCCGTTAAAAACTTAAATAATTATTTGAACCGTAGTCCGATAAATAATAGTCTATAAGTTACCGAGGATCGTATATTATATTTATATAAAATTTCATGAAAGGCCGTTCCGAATCCGAATTTACGATTTACGCAAAAACTACGGCTTCCTCTCGTACACGGATAGACGGACAGTCAGACAGACAATAATTCTAAAATATATTAATTTGGCTTTAGCATTTTGTGTTGTCAAATTATTAGGATTACAGACACAACTTTTTAAAGATTTACTATATGTGTAGATTAAAAAAGTATCGCAAAATCACAGCATATCGACGTTATTATATTTTTACCTTATTTTTTTTAAATAAAACAAAGTTATCATGCAGTAAATAATTTTATTTCAAAAACTTTTTATATCTTGATAACCCTCTGTTATATTTTGTCCCGAACGTGAAATTATGTATCTGTGCTTATACAGCTATTATCCATCATTATTGTCTTTCAGGATAACACCTGATTTGGTTTAAAAGTTCACATTCACTTTTAATTTTAAACTGTTCAACATTGAAAAATGTAAAGAAGGTAACGAAATCCAGTAATCGCAATACATTATGGAAGACAATACAAACTTTATCTACTTCTGTGTCTCTAATATATCCTTACTCTTATCTCCTTTTATTTATTTTTTACCTTATTATATTAATAAAAATTTCACGGAATTTAATACTTGGAGTCAAAATTCAACATAAGACTCATACTAAAAATATATAAATTAACCTTAAAACAATAGTATTCAATATTCAAATCGCTTAAATGAAAATTGAGAAAGTTGAAAAACAAATCTAACCTAATATGAGCATAATGATTTTTTTAAATATATTTTGTTTAATAAATAAATTATTGTTGTTGAATGTAACATTAAGTGTTGTTTTCACATAAGGTTAATCACTTTAGTATTTACTCTAAAACTCTCTAATAAGTAACCCGATATAGAACTTCAATAATTTTCTTGGTAAACAAACTTAATTTATCACTTCATTATCTTCCTAAGGATATGAATAGTTTAGATTTATTTACACCAAATTTTATTTGCCTAGGATACTTTATTATTATTTGTAATATATAATCCATTCATATTTGAAGCAATAATTTGTTTTCTTCCTATTTTCTTCCATGCTAAATCATTAATAAACGGTGTTCCTCTTCTATTTAATACAAATAAATTATTCTGATACCAATTAACACTTTTATTCACGTACACATAACTGATATCGATACATAAAATGATTTTTTCTTATAGAAATGGCAGTAATATATCACGTTAATGAATTTAGGGTAACTTTCGTTAAACACACAAGAATCAACATTCATTTTATCATAATTATTGCCACATAAATTATTTGAAGAGATAAATTACTAATATGATAATATTAATTGTTATTAAAAAAAGATACTTATTTTTGTTTTTCATGTATACGATATTGATTAAAACACCCGTAGTTCAACAATGTACCACAAATCAATCAGCCAGTTTTATTTTGTGCGCTTATTTACTGTCAAATAAAACATATACGCCGTGTACATAGAAAATTACAATAATTACTCGTACTATGTAAAATACACATTCACTCAATTACATTAAGGAACACGTGTTGGAAAGTGTCTAAAATTTGATAAATTTTTAAAATGATGTCAACATTTAGCATTAGATCGTCTGCTTTTGGTCCAAAATTTATTTCAGTATTTATTTTTACTCAATATCCTCCCAATATATTTACATTATTTTGAAGTAAATTGTCACAAACAACATCCCCATTCGACGAAAACTTCGTGGCAGTCCATTAGGTTTCGTCAATAAAGAAGCCGAGTAGGTTTTAATCGAACTCGATACCAGCGGATTGGTGTTTCATAGTATAGGATAATAATTATCAACAATTATCATATTACAACATTAAAAATCTCCAGTTTATTAAACAATCAGAGTATATATAAGACTCCGTGTGAGAAGCCGGTCACACTGTAGTGACCCGATCAACTTCTACGTAACGCACGGAGTCTTCGCTTGGTCAGCAAATCACTTCCTTCTCGTCAAATATGGCTGTATCAGATGAGAGACTTTTGAGGCGGTGCTGCAGAGCAGAACGTCTGCGGCGACAGGAACGCGCTGCCGCTATCTAGGTACAAAATATATAACAACATGAGGTAAAAATTCTAGAATTCTCTAGTTTAGTAAAAAGTAAAGTAAAGTTATAGCCTATATACGTCCCACTGATGGGCACAGGCCTCCCCTCATTTCTGAGAGGGTTTAGGGCAAGGAAGTGTCCGCTGCGCTGCCCCAATACGTGTTGGCGAACTTCACATGTCTTCGCAATATTTTTTTCTTATTCCTCAGACATGCAGGTTTCCTCACGATGTTTTACTTCACCGCCGAGCACGTGGTAAATCAGCACTTAAAATTGTAATTAACAATTTCATTGGTGCCGGCGGGGATCGAACCCGGGTTACTCGCGTTCTGTTATATTTACAGCGAGCCTTAACCATCTGGGCTACCACGGCTCTTCTCTAACCTACCACAGCTCTTCTACTACTCTACAGTAGTTGTAGTTTAGTACATAATACGATTAAAATTTTTGGGTGAATGATCGCTGCAAGCAATAGTTTTGTTTCTTTCGTTTTATCTCCTACATATTTTTATATATTATTAGCTATATAGTGGCGGTATAAGCTACAGATTAGAGTATTTCTACTACCCCATACCATCGAGTGTCGTAACAGGCGACAGAGGGAAACAAGTCAGAGGACGGGCAGGAATTTTCTCCTTATAACAACTATAACAAAATTTAAAAAAAAAACTGCAGTCGCCAAACTGCCTGCGAAGGTGCGAAGTGTAGCAACTTCAGCAAATATCCCCCCTATGATGCAATCTATGGAGAGGCACATTTTTAGCAGTGGAATTTTGATAGGCTGTAAAGTTAATAGATTTTAGGAGATATCATTATCGACACCAGACAGAAAGCGTGACGTCGTAGGCTTATGTGATCCGTCGGGCTTATGCGAGCGCGTACATGTGGTATAGTAAACAGTAAAGTAATAAAATAGCGAAGAGTCACAATAAGAGGCTTAAAACTGATAAAATTTTATTATATGAACGCGTTTTGAAAAAAATTTCCTCAATTTTTTATAGATTTAATGTGAATACTTACCACAGCAAAAACAGCGAGAATAGTAAGCGCAAGTAACGCTGCAGCATAATGTGCAGGCACTCGTAATAACGCAGAACATTCCGCTAGGCGTTCGTCTTCACCTTGTGGGCACTGCGCGATACCGTCGCACCACAGCGCTGGGGCAATACATGCGTCCAACGATGCGCATCGATACTGACATTCGCCAGATAATGCATATACTCCACCACGTGCACTTGGTTGCCTATAGAGGGCATGCAATTAATATTAATTAAAAATATTAGCATCTACTTAAAATGATATAAGGATATCCGCAGTAGAACTAGATTTACCGACACATTCGAATTGATCAGAAAGAAAGAAAGAAACATTTATTTGCATGCAGTAGGCCGAAGTGCCCCAGGGCTGGCCATATAGTTCGAAGAACCGATAACCGATAGGGAAGAAAGATTTCTGAGTGACCGCTCGGTACAGAATGCGAAATGATCTGCGGAGAGGTGCAGGAAGTTGACGGATGGAGGTAACCAGGGACCGTACTTTGTGGTATACCTTGGAGGAGGCCTATGTACAGCAGTGTTAATAAAAAATAATAAACAATATGATTATAAAACATAAATGTTTAGAATTACATTGACATTTCTGAGTATATTGCCTAACATTGGAACTTCTTATTAAGATTACAATGCAAGCATTTGAATACAAGGCTGAGAACAAATATAAATTATTAACAAATGCCTACAATGTAACGCATATGCATAACAGCGTAGGCTGAAAACGCATACAAATTTCAATAGAGATATTAAGTAAGGAAATAAGAAAATAATTTATTTAGGCATTACCTTCTCGAAAGTTCCAACCATGTAATATAATATGAGCCACTTTCTTCAGCTATAAGTTCAACGGACAAGGAACGGGGCCAATCTAAATCGAACTGATCGGGTGACGGAGGTGGTGCAAGCACATGGCGCGCAAGCGGGTTCACTTCTTTAGACCAACCATCGGAAAAAAATTCTACTAAATCGACCTGTAATATGTAATATAAATATTAGAGTTCTTAACAAATAATACGCATGTCATGACATTATTGTATTATCACATTATTTAAAATTATTTCAGTAAAAACAAAGTCAGATGTCCGGAAATGAGTGAAAACTATATTTAAAAATTCCATCTTATACATACATACTTAGATAGGTGAAGCTTATGAAAACACGTCAGAATAATTAATATCTAGATTATTCTTCTAAATACTTAATTTAATGCATATCAGATAATTTTTTTACGAATTATATAATAACCAAACAATATAATAATTACCGGTTCTTCAGGAGGATCGGGGCAAATAAATACAGGCGATAATCCTCCAGCATATACTGCAATACGATTTGGCGTCCTACACATGTGCCTTAGGTCAGGTGCAACTGTAATATTGTTTAGTAGAGTAAAATTATCCAGTTCCGGCTCCTTTATAATGCTTCCTTTGATTTGAAGATAAAGATATCTGCCAGGTGAAGGATCAATCATCCACGGACGGCGGTCACAGTGATCCTGTGTTTACAGAAATTATTTATTTGCAAACAATTACATACTTTTAATTACCCTTCTAGGTCATAAAATTTAATTTTAAAGGAATAAGAATAGGGAAATAAATGTCAGCGTTTTCACGTTTTACAAACGTAAGTTAACAATTTCTCCATAATATGTAATGAACTTAGCTGTAAATACGGAAAAACTGACTTTAATTCAAAAACTTTAAAACTTTATTATTTTACCATTTCAGAGGTTAGTGACGTAGATAGTTTCAGTTCTCCACTGGCACCGAAAACTTTATGACTATTTTCACATGCAATTTCTTGCCTCACAAACTCCACAGTGGCTTCGAAACCAAATGACCGGAAGTCGTCTGTTGCCGTCATGTTAATGACATCAAATTTCAAGTCGGCTACCGTTGCTCTTGAAGTAAATTCATAATCACCCACGTCACTGAAAATGTGAACATTATAAAGTAGTTGAATGCAAAAACTAATATGATTTTATGTTAGTAAAAGTTTTATAATCTGGGGCACGGCAGTGCCCCCGCCAAGTCGAGCAAAAAAGCGGCACGGCCGTACCATACTTTTCTCGAAGCAAGTCAGGCGATTTTCGACCCCCTATAACTTCGTAGTGGATAAAACTAGAATCCTGAAATTTCAGTAACCTAGTAGGAATTGTATAAACATGGTATATTTCAATTTGAACCAGTAGTTTAAGAATTATAACTAGTAAAAGTTTCTTAATTTTGTCACTCACTGACTGACCGATCACCAAAACTCTAAGGCACTTCTAGCAGACATAGAAGCTTCAAATTTAGAATAAAATTAGTGTATAGTGTATAAAAGGAAAAACTGAAATATTTTTTAGTTTCGGTCCAGTTTTCTAGATACACCAACTCCATAAATAACTTTGTAATCCCATATAAACATATAGAATTACAAAGTTACAGTTGTAATGACTGAATCAGTGTACTTGTATATGTATAATACATGTAGATAGCAATCGATCAAAAGTAACCTGAAAGAAAAAAACAATCTTATCTACAAAAATAAATAATGTCATCAAGAAATACAACTTGTAAAAAAGACCAAGTCTCCCAACTCATTTATTCTGAACCGTAAAAATGTAGATCTGTAATACCAAGTTGTTAATTATTCGGTCCCTACTTAAAGGTCCTTCTGTTTTAAGTTATTACGTAATTAGCTAACCTAACAACATATAGTGACGCATATCAGTGTTAAAAATCTTTTTGTTAAATATATAGATTGACTTGGCAACGCACTAAGCAATCTAATTTAATACAAATGTAAACTTGTGAGAACACTGTATTTCATACGATGGCCGAGTAATCTATTTATTTGAAACAAGATTTTAAACATTACAAGTTATATTTTTGATGACATCTCATTTATTTTTGTAGATAAGATAGTCCTACTTTTTTCCTTTCCGGTACCTTCTACTTCTTGAATACCAACAACTTTCCTATCTACATCTATTATACATATACAAGTACACTGACTCAGTCATTGCTAATGTAATTGCAATTATATTAGTTTTACATAAGCTTATAAACGATAGTAAAGTAAAGTAAAGTTACAGCCTATATACGTCCCACTGCTGGGCTCAGGCCTCCCCTCATATCTGAGAGGGTTTAGGGCAAGGAAGTGTCCGCCGCGCTGCCCAAATGCGTGTTGACGAACTTCACATGTCTTCGAAATATTTTTTTTCTTATTCCTCAGACATGCAGGTTTCCTCACGATGTTTTCCTTCACCGCCGAGCACGTGGTAAATCATCACTTAAAATTGCAATTAACAATTTCATTTGTGCCAGCGGGGATCGAACCCGGGTTACTCGCGTTCTGTTATATTTACAGCGAGCGTTAACCACTGAGCTACCACGGCTCGTATAAATAAACGATAGGCTTTGCTTTAATTCTTCTTTTTTCATGTTTTAGCTTATTATATTCGGTAGTTCACCGGGCAGTGGCGGTGTAAGGATATCCACTACCCCATGTCATCCCGTTTCGGGTGTTATAGGAGGCGACAGAAAGAAATAAACCAGGAGATGGGCAGCGGCATCTTCCTAATAACAAATAAAAAAATTCTATTAGCCTAGTGGCAGGCCTATGTTCAGCAGTCGACTTGTAAGACCGATTTACACTTTGACAAGTACAGTAGCGAGTTTAGTTACAGGACAGTTGACATTAAATGGTTAAGTGGGCAGTAGCGTTCAAACAATGTCTTCGTGGCGAGTTTAGTTAAAGACATTAGTTCATAGAGTTCGTGGGAGTATGACGTTTCAAGACTACAGAATTTTTCTGGTTTTCGTTTAAGATGGTTCTAGGATTACGTAAAGAATTAAATGATCCAGTCAGAGAAGTATTAATGGTTTTTGTTAAAGAAGTTTTTAAGAATTTTCTTGAGTGCAGCATCTCAAGCAGGTTTAATTTTACAATTTGAACTTCTAGTATTATATAAACATTCGTGTTCTAAATACTCCTGTACAAAATTATACGTGATATCTTCCGTCCATTATACTATTAAAACCCAATATAAAACTTATAAATATTCAATAAACAGTATAGTACAAACTTTGTGGCGAGTTTAATTATAAAAGTACAATTGTACGTTTTGGCGCGCAAACGTTGCGTCCTGTCAACTTATGCACTGAACTAAACTCGCTCGTTTACACGAACGGCGAGTTTAGTTGCGGGTGGCGGGAGACGCGCGGGAGAGCAGCACTTCGCACTTAACTCGCCGAAAAATAGCTCGGCCGGCTATCCCGTTCAACTTAATCGTTAACTTGCTACTTAACTCGCTTATTGCCGTTTAAACTTAACTCGCCAGGTTCGCAAGTTAACTCGCTACTGTACTTGTCGAAGTGTAAATCGGTCTTTATAGGCAGTAACGGAATTAATATATTCATTAGACATATACAAAAATACTAAAGATACCTGCATAAGCAATCTCTTGGTATCCCCGGACCATTATCTCTCCAAGGCCTCTCGAAAATTCTTAATGCAGCAGTTGGATCACCTCCACATCGAAACCACGGGGAATGAGCGGAATGCACTGATCTACACAATCGTCCTCCATTTCGTATACCCCATAAGCGGAGGCGTATTACTTCCCCAGGATTTGCTTCGAATCGGTAAGTACAACTAAAACAAATCATATTTTGTTATAATAATATAGAGTGGAATAACGAACATTGTTTTCCTATATCTATTTGCGTAAGGAACAACATCTGTAAATTCGTAGTTTTAGAATCTGGGGATATCTGGAAATTTGATCAATGTTGCTAAAACATTAAAAATTGTGTCATAGGGATAATAAGTATGGTCTTACCTAATATTTCGTTTTCCACCTCTCCCATATAAAAATACATCCCTCGGAGATGAAAAACTAACAGGTGGATCAGGCGGTGCCTCTGGAAATGAACGGGATGCAAAACGACGCGAACATGGACCCCTACCCCAAGGTTCACCATCTTGATGCAAGTCCACAAATTCGTACAAAGCTTTAAAGAAAACGGGTCTGTGAACAAAATTTATTTTTGCTTAAATGGATTCATTGGTTACCGTGCAGTGGCGGTGTAAAAATATCCACTACCCCATATCATCCCGTGGAAGTCGTCAGAGTCGATATAGGGAATCAAATCAGGAGATGGGCAGCAGGGCTTCCTAATAACGACTATAAATAAAAATAAACTGCAATTGCCAACCAGCTTGCCAAGCAAGAAAACTATGGCAAATATCCCCCTATGAGGCCATCTATGGGGGGGGGGGCCTATATTCAGCAGTGGACTTTAATAGGCTGTAACGGTAGCAGAATTGCTTTTAAATTATAATAAGAGATAGCATAATACTATAAAACTGATTATAAGGTTAAAAAATCAGGTGTCTAAAAGCACAGTCAAAATAATCATTACGTATGTTAAAATAAGAGCAACCTATTATTATAAAATAATTAAAGCAACCTAAAATTAATGTATATAAAGTTTCGCTAGCGACAACAATAATTTTAATATACCGTAGTGTTAACTTTCCCACCTATTAAAACTAAGCGTATCGACTTACTTCAGAGCGGTCCCTTGAGTCAACTTTAGTTCCAGCGTTAAAGAGTCCCCTTTAGAGAGAAAGCTCTCCGTACGAGTACAAGCTCTGGATTTTCGTAATAAAGCATGTTCGCAGGTACGAGGGGCCCGCTCACGGCAAAATCTTGCGATTAAAGTAGCATTTGTTGGAGGACGTCCAACAATAACTGACTGGGGAGATGTAGCTCTTGACATTTGCACTGAGCGTTCTCTGTCACTGAAACAAGCAAAAATTTTATTTGTTTTTGTGGGATGGTGGGTCGTATTTATTAAATAAATATTACTTTGCTAAAATATTCTTACGTTTTTACTACAAATAATCAATTATATATTGTGCATAAATTTTTATATATTATTCAAATGAGTATTGACATAAATACTGCAAAAATTTACAAATTTTATTTTTTACCCACAATTTTAATTATTGGTACATCTTTTCATTACATAATACTTGTCAGATAGCGGTAATGACATTCAATTAACACAAATAATATTTAAAAAATGGTTGGGAATTATAATAAAACTTTATGGAGATTTAGTCATGTATTTATTCGTACGTTTATTAAACAGTAAAAAAACAATCATATTCATTACAGACAGGTTTCTTTTGTTTAAAATTATAGAGAATATTATTTTAGATTATCTGAATATTAAAATATCACGAAGTCAAAATATATATTTCCTTTATCATAAATCACATTAGCGTGTTCATTCAAAAGATATATTACACATAAAATAATAAATAATATCTTTCATTTATAAAGCTAAATTTAATACTTTGCAGCTGCATTAAATTTAGCTCAAAAAGCAAATATATGCCCAAATGTAAATCCTGAAATATCGTTTCAAATACAACTCACCAGAAAATATCACTGCAACCGGGTGATATCCGCATCGGGCCATCCCATATATTCAAATGGCTTCCGCAGTACTCATCCTCAGGCAAATTTGGATTTAACGCATTTGTTACATAGAATTTTAACACAGAGAACCATACTCGGAATCTTGGTGCTGAAAACGACGGTCTTCTGTAAATTATGTTCCTTCCTGACGGTCCGGATGTATCAATTCCTTGCATATGGTAAAGACAAGTTGTATTGGGAGGGAGCGAATGTTGTGGATGTTCTAAGACACCTCTTCCTGTCCCTCTTATCCAAAATTCGCAGGCTCTTTTGTTTTTCGCGTAAGTAGGTGATTGTTGATCTACAAACTTTACCTAAAATATACGCCAGTAAATTAACAACAGTTAGTTAATGAGCTTAACATTGTTTTAAAAACAATATCAGATGGCAAAGAATTTTCCATTTTATATAATAAAAAATTCAAAAGGGATTTATTTTACTACGGTAGTATTAAGTGAGCATTACTCATTAAGTCATTATGCTTAGTATTCCCGTTAAATAATGTCGATACATGTATGATAAATTTATATTATTATATTATTTACTTACACTGAACTGAAATGAAACAAGTAAATACATAATAATATTAGTAAGTGCAATATTAGTTTGCTTATGTAGTATAGCATTAGTGTTGCCAGGTCTAGCAAGTAAACTTTTGGGACGGAAGGTAAAAATAATCGGGAATTTGGTCTTCATATCGAGACAGCTACAATGACTACAAAATACAGGTTTTTTGTAACCTTTTTGTGCTTTATAATTATTATTCGGGTCTGACCTCATGAACGAATAACTTTTCATCCAAACATCGTCGTAAAAACTGCATCTCCTTTGTCTATATTTTTTTCGTTTTAGGCAAATCAAAACATTTTTAAACTATTTGTTTTTTTAAAGTCTGAATTTTTTAATTTCAGACTTTAAAAATATATATTTCATTTGAATATAACTCTGTTTCAAACTTTTGTGGCTTTTTTTTTTCTTGACTGGTGAGAAAATGTCATAGTAAAAATATTTTTATATAGTAGTAGCTAATAGATGTAATCATTTTTGCTGTCAAAATTATGAATTAAAGTATAGACTAAGAAGGTTAGTCAAAATCGGAACATTTGGCGTCCCGATCAAGGTGAATCGGAACAGACCCTTGAAAATCGGGACGTCCCGCGCAAATCGGGACATCTGGCAACACTATATAGCATGCAAAATTTAGTTCCTAATTTCAATTGATAGCCTTGGAGACAACTGCCTCTAATATCCATTGAGTATATCAAAGTATGGTCTGTACTCGAGTCAACAAATAAACAAAAATATCTCCTTCTATAACGTTAAGAAGTAAAAATATATTAAACCTTAGTTGCAATATATAGCTGCTCTTTTTCGTATGTTGAGTTTAGAGAACCGGAGACCCTTTTTACTGGGAACGAGGCATTTCATCTTAGTCCTCGGACGTAACAACGCATCTACATTTTGGTTATTAATCGAGGATAGATGCGGATGTCTATGGGCCACAGTACTCACTTACCATCAGGTGTACTGTGTGCTCGTTCGCCCGAATAACCGACAACCGGTGGGGAAGGAAGGTTCTCGAGTGACAACCTCGTACCGGTATGCGAAGTGTAGGGCGGCCTCCCACTATATGGATTGACAACTGATTGGCTCGGGACATTTGTGGCATTCCTTTGTTGAGACTGTGTTCAGCAGTGGACATGTAAACGGCTATAATGCTAATGGTTTATTATAAGTAATAAAATATTTATTATTTAACTGTAATTAAATATCCATTAAACCAGAACCTAATCTGTCTTACAAAATTAATTTTTTTATCGCCATATTTATTCAAATTGTACACATTAAATATTGATCTTTTGATGTCAGTTACCTCAACTTCTAACTGGAATCCATGAAGCGATTGTAACATTGCCGGTTGCAAGAACGTTCCAAAAGGTGAAGTCGTAAATTCTACAAGCAATTCGGGACCACTGGATATTGCTTCAGGGACTGCCACCCCTCCCCCACAAAACCTTAAAATAACAGGATCTCTTGTCGTATAGCCATCATAAACAGTTACGTAATCTTGGACTTCGTCACACTCTTGCCAAAATTTAAGTTCTCGACCATTGTTCCCTCTTTCCTGTTCTGCCGACGCATATAAAGCTTTTTCACTTCTAATAGACACAAGCTGTCCATTTGGCTGTTTCACTATTATCAGTGCGTGTTTCCCTTGAGGTACCTCATGTTGTCGTACTGCATAGTAACAAGTTAAATTTCTTGGGTAAACTCCAGGGTAGTTGGGGGATTGTAACCTACAGTTTTTACGATCGCAGTCACTGAATATACGCGAGCAATAAGTTCCAGATATCAAATCTCCAAGGTAATACTCAGATGTCTTTGTCGGCTTTCCAACGTTCATTTCTTCGTTACGTGATATGTTTAAGGGAGGAGGCAAGGGTCTTAGTTTGAAAAATGGCCTCTCTGAAATAAGAATATAATTTAAGACACGAGAACGTTTACTGGGGCAAAGTTATCAAATGTTATTTCATGGTCGACGTTATACGTCAATTTGCGTAAAATTATACATTCAAATACACTTTTATTGCTGAATTCATATCATACTGCTACATACTAACCTGATGGAGGAGATCCTCCGTATCGTACCGTAGCATATTCTTTTCTTAAAACTTTATACGCCATACGAAAATCAAAATTATAGTTATTCTGCTCCTTTGACAAATGTAGTAATCTAATAATTAATGTAATAGATTTCGTCTCGCTGTAATATATGGAGGGCCCCCAAGAAGTTCCACACCATGAGCCTCCAACTTGCGGTCTACTGGCCTCTTGTATTTGCATGTAACCATCAGGACAGCCATCTTCAGTGAATGATGTGAAGCGGCCAAGTGTAAAACTATCAAACAACACCTAAAAATAATATTATTCAAAAACATTTAACAAATGGTATTTTTTAAATGTGGTTATACAATTTTAACAAGAAACACAAATAGAATTAAGCAACGTCCCAAGACAACTGTAATGTTGGCTTTCTCTATAGGTAATTTACTAATGGATTGATTTTATATTAAAAAAGTTTAAAAACCCGAGTTCGATGCCCGTCAAATTGTTAATTGTTTGTTAATTGCAATTTTAAGTCCTAATTTACCCCGTGCGCGGCGGTGAAGGTAAACATCGTGAGGAAACCTGCATGTCTGAGAAATAAAAAAATATATGAAAAAATATATGAAGTCTGCCATCACACATTGAGGCAGAGCGACGGATACTTCTTTGCCCTGAAACTCTCTAAGAAGTGAGAGGCATGTGGCCAGCAGTGGGACGTATATAGGCTGTAACTTTACTTTTAAATACAGTTGTAAATTACAACTACATTATATTTAATTTATGACTTGTTATAATTTTTAATTTATGACTTGTTATATACAATAACTTTAGAAATATTAACCAAATCGTCCTGTTTTAAATATTTCAAATTAGATTTATATGATAATTTAATTTCTCCCTTCACTTTCCACCATCAAACAGACGATCAACTGCTCTCCACTACCTTATGGTCGATATTCCACTCATTCGAACTAAAGAATTTTTTTATAATTTTGTAATGAGTAAAGCTAACGAGTGGCTTAATTTTCTCGTCTCTCGTCTTTCCATCCTATTACAATCTGGATTTTAAGGTAGAGATCATAGATATGGCTACGCCACTATATACAGAAAGCCATATTATGATGTTTCTGGAATTTCCCAAAGTCGCCCCTAACGACAATCACGGTATGATAGAATGTCTTTCGTTGTTACTACACGGCAATATGTTATTTACCTGTACTAAATCACCATGAACACCACCAGCAGCAGTGATGGTCAAGAGGCATACATATGGAACCAAATCTTCACGAGGTCTATGGAGTTCTAGTTCATATGTCCGACCGATATCCCCGTAGTATGTTCTGTTGCAACCTGTAGACAAATAAAAATATTTAAGGTTAGGAAAAAATAAACATGCGATTAAAATTACTAAGAGAGAGACGTACTTATTGATTTTATACAGTTAGAGGAATATTTCGACTTTTTAATAAAACTAATTTAGCAAATCATTTTATGATAAATGTTAACCGGTTTTTAATTAATATAATAAATTTTTAAGTCACGATACAAAGGTAAACACAATAGATTTATTTTACTAATCACTCGATTATAAGTCAATGTTAGTACTCAGCCATCTTTTCTATTAAATTGAAATTATTATACATTTTGAAATAAAAAAGCGAAAAAATTAAAACCATTTCAAAGGCATTACTATCATGTTTATGTAAGGTACTCTCTGTAACGTAAAGATGAATATCCTGAATCCAGTTTTTAAGAGCTCTTTATATAATGGAACGGTGTGCTTATGCTGACTACTCGTGTGTACAAAATAAAGAACCAGGACCTGTGATATATTCAATGCTTAGGATCTTTTTTGTTTCCGTTGTAAGATAAAAAATGCGTGCCTTGAAATACGAAATAACTGGCGGTCTTACATAAAATCTTCTAAATTAAGTGTTTATGATTTCTATACTTTTATATATATATATATATATATATATATATATATATATATATATATATATATATATATATATATATATATACATATATACAATTATCACCTAATAGTGATAGGTATAAATCAACTCCAGGTTGCTCTGGTCTTACTCTAATCTTTCATAACGTAATTATTTTTGATAATTTTAATAACTTTTAGAGGACAAAAATAAACTAAAAATTCCGGGTATTGTAATTAAAAAGGTTTTGAGGTAAGAGGCTATACATATTTTGGCCTGGATGTTTAAGAAGAAGGAGGGTGTTTTTAAAATAAATAAAATTTGATTATTTTATGGATCTTATTTATATAAAAAAAAAAGACGTCTAATTTCAAATTCAACTTTAACAGTGTCCGGAATATGACCGACGGCTCCATACCCACTTTGTACTCGTACAAGGCGATCACTGCAATATTATTTTCTTTAACACCCCATTCCATATTGTAATTTGATAATGGACACGAAAAAATATGTGAAATGGCGCGAAATCGAAAGAACTTTTAAAAATAATGAACGAGTTCCAAATTCAAAAGAATTAAAAAGTTGAAAAAAGATAAGTTTTTATGTAACAGTGATTATGGCCACTTGATGGTAAGTGGATGCTCTCCCCCACAGACATCTAGATGTATCTTCAATTTAGAATCAAAATGCAGATGCGTTATCACATTTGATGGCTGTGAATATATGCTTCATTCTCGGTAATAAGAGTCCCTGGTCGTGTACACTCACCACATAAAGAAGGACGCCCGCAAAAAGGAAATACACCATAAAAAAACAAAAAAAATTTATATAAAAAAAAAAAAAAAAAAAAAAAAAAAAAAAAAAAAAAAAAAACCGAACCATTAACAAGTATATTGACAACGCTTATTGCGCGTCACTCTTTACCTCTAGAGATGAAAAGTGGCCCATGCAAAACTGCTTGGCTACTCGTGTGATTTGGAAATCCGTGCTCTTTGTCAAACAATGGGTGGTAAGCGTAACTACTGAGTGTACACATTTATCAACCAAAAAACGTATACACTGAGTACATTTAATTATGTAATTAACATAATTTATAGTTTTTTTAGACTGTAACTAATTGTGTACTGCGCTATTTCCTACAAACTAGAATAAATTCATTATTCACTCTATATAAAAAAAAATTATTTGTTGAGCAGTCTAAGGGCAATATATATATATATATGTATATATTCGAGAAGCAAAATATATTTACCCTAGCTGTTCCACGCGACTGGAACTGGAAAACTGGAATTTTTTTTTGCTCAGAACCCTAAAATAAAAATAGGGTTCGTTACTTCTTATAACATCAGCTATTTGCCAGTGAAAGTGCCATCCAAATCGGTTTTCAGGTTGTTGCGTGATGTGAATTCAGACAGACGTCGTGTTGGAGCTTTATTACAGTAGTAGATTTCTTTATTTTTAATTTATTTGCATTATAGGTGTCAATAGTGTTCTATAAATAAAATATGAGATTTCCCATAAAAGACTAAAACTTAGCCAATTCTTGTTATAATATAAATATCACGTTTCTTTTTCTAAGCTTGTGTTTATTTACAGTATTTTTCGCAGTCAGAATCCAAGAAAAGAGCTACATAAGTCTACTTATGTTAGATTTTGTCCAACAAAACTAAACGTTAAACGCGTTTAGTAATATAGTACGTGCATTTATAATATTGCTTTCTTAAAGAAGTTGCGAATAGCATATTTGATAAAAAATCTGCTATTCGTAACTCGATACTGAATTAAAAATTAAGCAAATGATTAAACTTTTATATAAAACATAAAAAAATATTACTATTAAATAACAAACATTATATAGAAGTCAAATTACAAGTACGAGGTGTAAAGAGCAAAAAATCGTTTTTTCGCATTCCTGTAAACCTCACTTTTTGAGTTACGATGTTATTCGATTCGTGTGTCGTTTTGTAATAGGTACTCTAGTTAAAACACCATGATATAGAGAATTTGTATTCAAGTAATTGTTTTAGTTTTTCTAATAAAGTAGGTACTTCATAAATAAAAGTGAGCGGTAGTCACATTATGGTGAACGGGGATCGGGGTCACAAGCTCAAATCCGCGAGAGTAATCCGATTGTGTCACTGCGTCCGGTCGAACAGTCACAAAGGGATCGAACGAACGCTTCGTAGCTCGCTCGGTCGCGTGTCCTGCACTAATTCAATTACGATCACCACAGGTTACCTAATAAATATAAAAATACTTAAATCATTTTAATGTTAGTAGAAAATGCAGCTTATTTCTTACCAACATTAAATATAATTTTATTACCACGTTTTTATAAAGTCACTTTCATGTTTGTCTGTATAATATTTCCGGGTGGAATCTTGCAACTCTAATTTCGGGCACTGCTCGATGAGCTAGATTATTCTATTATAGTCGCAATTTTGAACATAGCTCATAAGAAAAAATCGTGGTAAGTATATTTTTTTAGTACAAAATATTTTAAAAAATTACTTGTTTTCTTAAACATATTAAAAATTAACAACAGACCAATGAAACAAGAAGACAAATTGTGTCAGGAGACATAAATATTATATAACATGTGATTTTTTTTCTTTCTATCTCGATTTTTGTATAAACATTAACTAAGTGTTGGTTGAACAATTGTTACTCGTAATGCAAATGATTGTGTTCATTTTGTCTGATTATTAATCGGTAACAATATTATTATGGTGCGAAAATTTATTTATTAAGAATTTGTATTTGACACACCGTCAAACAACAACGGGCGATCACCCACTAGATATAGAATGACGGACGGGAAATCGATGGATGCAGGTGGCTCAGGACCGCACTTTTTTGCATCCCTTCGGAGAGGTCTCTGTTCAGCAGCGGACTTGTGAAGGGATGTACACTTCATCATAATTGATTTTTTAGGAAATTTAAAATATTAAGTTTATCTTTACCATATTGTAATATTGCCTACCGAATTTAAGGAGCTTTTTTAAAAATTTCAAGTTCCCAGCTCATCTGAAACTTTTTTATATAATAACGGTCACAAATGAGCACACAGTAGTCCACCTGATGGTTGATGGATGCTGTAGCCCATAGACATCTACATTTATCCTCGATTAAGAATCAAAACGCAGATGCATTGACACCCCTGAGAACTAAGATGGAATGCCTCGTTTCCAGTAAAAAAGGGTATCCGGATCTCTACGCTCACCATACGAAACACAGCAGTATTGAGCTGCTATTTTACGCTGGTATTCTGAAACAGCGTGGTCCTTCCCCGGTCGAGCCGACCCTTTCGTGCTACAACCATAATATAGCTACAGCGTTTAGTTTAAAATCATTTAGTAAATTCCACCCGGAACGACAGGCAAATAACAGAGCGACTTTAATAAAAAAGAGTAGTTATTTCAATACTTTTTATTATAATATTAACCCTTTTTCAGTCCAATTAATCACATACATATATGAACATTTAGATTGTTTAACTATTGTGTCTCTTTCGCGGACAGGGCAACTGTTGAGACGTCAAATGAGCGATCACCCAAAAGCATATTTAACCGTTGTCATCCCTGAAAAGTGATATAGAATTACTTACAACTTATATTTAAATAGGCTATCGTAATATTCAGAGATGCAAATTATAATATTTAAAAAAAGGTAAAAATCAGCAATCCCTCTTATAAAGTATCAAAATGAAATGTACTGTTTTATTTATTCACTGCGTGGTGCATTGTATTGAATGAAATGAAAATAACGAAACGAAGATGCATATTAAATATTCATCACTGTTGGTCATTGGTAAAAAATGAGAGGAAGCTCTTATTACGGTGTTAATTGCGGTTATACAAAGTGTTTTACGAAGTATTCGGAGCAACAACACCGTAATTAAAAATGCATGTTTTGGTTCAGGGCACCGTTCCAAAACTTTTCCTTGATCATAAATCCCACTTAAAAATAATTTAGGCTGCAACTATGCTTTTTCACTTATTTCTATAAATTATAAAGATATTTTAAACAGCCGCAACTGTTGTACATAAGGATAATAATCATATATTCGTTACAAATCTATGTAAGTATATCATTTATGATAACGAGGGTAGATACAAAGTTACATGTAGCCCTAAAAATATTAACTAGCACTACTACTTTAGTAGACTGAAATGTGCTATAAAGACAAAATTCCGCCTTTAAAAGTGATTCCTTTATACAACTGAAAGCTTACGATGAATCGTAATGACGGAAGAAATGGCTAGTAAGATATTGCAGAACCTATTAAATTGTTACGCTACAATCACTTCTATTCTACTATTTTATCTACTACATAAAGTTTTAATGAACACTCTTTTTTTCCTATTTTATAGAATAAGAGTAACAAACGAGCACACAGTCCACCTGATGGCA